ACATAATGAATCAGCTTAATTCTAAGAAATTGGCTCAAATATATGTGCACTTTTGTTGTAATGACAAATATTTAATTTGTTGGATGATCGGTCCTTGCTTCTCGTCACTCTCCGTTTTCTCACTTCCTCTCCCTCTATATGTCACACTTCCCACCACTTGAGGATGAGTCACAAAATGTTCCTCTGAGGTCATCGACAATGTGAATAACTGGTTAATTTTCAGAGGCTGAGGTTCCCGTCATTGCTTTCAGGAAATGGATGAATACAAGCGTCCCAATTATAGTTTAATGACTTACATTTATGCCTATAACAAGACGACGTGTAGGTGAGTGACCTAGGATGGACGACAGTAATGACAAACCATTAATCAGCCTGCAGTATACAAGAATTCACCTGCTCTGCAGTGGGAGATGGGACAGGGCTGACTCAGAGTAGCCTCTGACCCCTACTGTGAAAGAAGAAATGTAAATAGAGGAATGTCTATTGAAGGACCGTTCTGTAGAATCTAGTGGTGAAGTTTCAGATTTGCAACCATGTGAATACAGCTCAGCCTTCCAAGCGTGTAGGAGAAACTATGGCCGCAGAAGGCACTAGAGCAAGTGTTTGGTTTGTCCGTTTGTAACAATTCTTATTTGTGATTATACACTAATGAAAACACACCTATGAAGGTTATATTCCATTTATGCCAATAGATCCTTTAAGTAAAATAGAGTAAATTACCTCAGTGTATGAGCAGTTTTACATATCATTATGATGTTAAATATGTTCCATTAGAGGGACCATAAGGAAAATAAGTTGGACACCAGTGCTGTAGAGTTGGCTGCTGCAGGGCCCATCAATAAATCCTTGTTAGAGCAGAGATTGAGCACTTACGGCCTTATAACCCTCTCACTGATGGGTCATATCAGTTCATAGAGACATTTTCCTTGTGTTATAACCTTTGTTAACCTATGTCATCTTTATCAAAAAATATATCTTGTATGAAGTCCTCTTCTTGCCTTCATTTTCTCACAGTTAAGCCTCATATCTTAGGCTTTAGAGAAAGATGTTTCACACTTTTATGAATCAAACAAATAATTATAGTCTGGTTTGCTCCTCAGTTATAGTTCAGAGATTGACCTCATTAAAGAAACCAACGACCTTCTTTTAGCAGCAATATTGGGTAAAAGTTCAGTTTAATCCTTTCACATCTTAGTGTAGTCTTTCAATATGTACACCATGCAATTATAATTGACCACTTTAAATTCTGGATTAGCATCAAGGACGCAGCACTTAAGTTCAGTGTCAGGTCTCAGTCTGTTTTGCATTTTCATTCTTCCACTTGGTTACATTATTTAGAGTTATTGTCTTGCTTTGCTATTCTGACAGTGTGATGATACATATATTGTTGACTTTAAACGGCCTGAATGCATTCATATTATTTGCCAGAGCCTTTCCACCCACCCCCTTCCAACACAAGTGAGGCAGCTAGGAAGAGGTCACTTTTTTAATGGGAACCATTTTGTTCTTTAACAATCTGATAATTTGTATTACTTTGTGGCTCATTTTGACAACTTTAACTACATGTACAAGGTTGCACTAACAGTATTACATGTGAAAGTGAACATTCAATATTACATGTGAGAGTGAACATTCAAGAGTTTTCTTTTTTGTATTGTAAGTAAATATTTATTTTTTTGAAAGTATGTATTTCTTGCTTAAAGATACATTTAAAACTTAGCTATTTGAACCATGCTTCCAGTCCTGTGCCTAACCAGATGAGGGCAGCCAAGATCTGCAGATGTGACTCTTGATGCCTGACTCTGTGGGAAAGGGGAGAAGCAGAATGGGTTGTGGTTTCATAGTAACCTGATGGCCAATTCAACTTTGTTACAGTAGAGTAGCCCTGCTCTATGCCACACATTTAAGCACAATTAAGGAACATGACAACCTGTGGGCTCAGTCTTCTGGTAAGTTAATACTGGAACTGCAGTGTCCATGAGTGGTAGGTCAATGGGTCATGGAGCTGCTGGCCATAAGTGAAGAAGCATTCAAACCCTTCATACTTTTACAACTCCATACACCTATGCTCCATACATTTAGTGTGACTGTTTAAAAAATTAACATAGATTGTGAGGTGCAGCCCCTGCTCTGATCTGAGCAGAGGCTTGAAAGGGGGTTTCAAATGTCAGAAGAGCCAACAAGCACTTTGTACAGTTGCCACTGACTTACCACTTAATAATATCTTACAGTATGACTTGAATGACCAATTTACACTGTTCTCCTCAGCAATTCCACTCTTGTCACTTTTCAAGCAAAAACATTCACTTTAGCTTATTGATGATAAATGATACTAAACTGAACATATTGATAAAACAATTAAGAAATTTGAATCAGCTTGGACAGCTTCTGCTTGGTAAAAGTGTGAGAAAACTAGAAATAACTAGATATAACAATAATATCCTCATCACACTGTACTGTACCTATAAGGACCAGACAAAGATATAACTTAGCAAGAATACAAACTATTCAAATTCTCTCTCCTTTTCCTGATACACACATGCAGTCACACACATTCTCTCCCTATGCATTGGTGAACACTTCTCCTCTTGCTGTTTCTTCCTCCCTACCACCCACACTGGGATAAGTCATCACTGCTTCAGTGCGTAAAGCCTGGTCTTATCTGAACAGTCACGTTGCCTTCGAGGTCTTATTCTTGATCTCTCCTCTGTCTGCAGCAGAGCTACTACACAACTTACCAAGTGTCTCCATCAGTGCTGCAAGAAAAAAGATTACACATACACAGACTGAAGACAATAACCACAATATATTCCTTTTCTTTTTATTCTTCTCTCTGTTTGGAAATTGCAGGGTCAATATTTTCATTAATCACATTACTTGACATGATGCACCAAAATTTACTCTATCTGTTTACAGGAATACACTGAATAGAACACAAGGTTTCACAATGGATACACGACTGACGTTTTGCCCATTGCACTTACAACAGTGAATGACATTTTCCAGATTTTTTGTTTCATTTTTTCCCGCTGCTTCCCTTTACCCTCATCGCCTTGCAGATCACATCCATCAAGCAAATCAAAGACCTCCTGATAGTCTGACAAAGGCATTCTACACTGCAATTGCTGTGGAGGTTTTTTCTTCTTGTTTTACAAGCACAATATGTATAGAAACTATACACAGACTGGATATGTTTCTGAATACGAGTTTTTGTTCCACTGTTGTAAACAGTCAATACAAGTCAGCCACATACACTATGCTTATGCAATAATTAGAATAATCATCATCATTAGTTTCATCATCGTCCTCATTATTGTGGTAATAAATATTCTTTTTATACATAAAAGTTGGCAGCAAATACGGCATGGGGATGCACATGACAGCCGTACTCAAAACTCAAAAGCTGTACAGAAGAATGAATTTGTATTTACAGTAAGAATGTGTGTCTGTCTGCCTTTCTGTCAATCGGACGGCTGCACTGAAGGCTGTTTTGTCTCATGCACCTCATATCGACCAAATAGCATCTTCATCTCTTGTTCTGATACAGATCTTACACTGTTCAGTTGGAGGCACTGCGCAACCTTCATATCTCTGCGCTTCATTGAGCAGCAAGTGCTACCAGTCAGGCTTGTGCTTTCAAAATGACATGCCCTGATTTGTGAATGACTGGCTGAACATTTTACTCATCAATATTATCCACATTGGCCTGTGAAAGTCAAGGTTCGTTAGGCAAACCTTGGTGAAATCATGCCTTACCTTTTTGAATTCAGGTATAACTTCCAAGAATATAAGATCTAATCATGCACCTTTCCAATGGCTTGGCTGCTGAGTGGTTTAATCAACAATGAAATATCCGATAGAAGCATTCCATTCACCCCACAGGTTATACTGACACCCAATATGTACACTGACAAGTATTAATGAGAAGTGCTGACCATCTGTATCACAGGTTTATAGCAGCACAGACAGTCACTGCAAGCCAAACACTGAGGAGCCCAGGTCAGCCAAAACGCACAAAAACTGAATGAGGGCTTACAAACAGCCAGACAAAGCCAAGCAAACCCATGCTTCAAAGCAACATGATGGTGGACATTCAAAACCGACAGTCTACACAGTTTACCCTTTGGCAACAATTCCCCTGTGTGGGGAGTGAGGGGTCAAAACATGCCACGAAAATAAAAACAATTCTAGTTCAATATTCAATATTCAAATTCATACAGACAAGTTGCTAAGTAAAAACATTTTCATGACCTTTTTTTTTTTTTTTACTATTTTCGTTCATAATTTTGTTGTTTTCTTGTGAATACAGTGATGATAATAAACTGTTTTAGGCTGAATCACTTCCAGGTTCAAAATGAGTCATTGCATAGAACATTTGAATTGATAATTGCTTTCATCCTCTTCTATATCTGTATGTGTGTGTGTTTGTGTGTGTGTGTGTCTTTGCACAAATAGAGGCAGTGGGCCCAGCTTGTTAGTGAGATCATCTTGTAGGTGAATTGGTAACCTCATTAATCAGCAGGAGGTTAACAGGTCTACTCAGTGAAGAACACAATTAACCTTGGCTCTGACGTGGAACTAGGATGCAAAGTGTGTAATGTGTAATGTGTGTAATGTGTGTGTGTGTGTGTGTGTGCATATGTGTTTGCAATAGATAGACACAGAGAGAGAGAGAGAGTGTGTGTTTCTGTGTGAGTGTGTTGTACCTGTCTGCATGCTCTTATGCATCTGCACATAACATGCACATTTGGACACGGTACTGTGGTTGTAAACCCTCTGACAAATTGTATTACGGCTATTTATCGACAGAACTGTTTGATATTTCCCATCACTAATTTAAACAACATTTATACGATTGTGCTATATACCATTTTCTGCATGCTATTGCTTTTAAAAATCAACAAGCAAATTATTTGATGCAAGAAAACAGATTCAAACAAAAGTGAAAAATATAAAGTTTTACCAAAGAAAAACACAGAACAAAAAAAAAGTCACTGGAGAGTGATTCCATAAATACACAAATGACAAATTTACATAATTAGATCTCTGATTTGTTTTATGTACATACAATAGTATACAGTTGTGTAAAAAGAAATGCATGATTACATGGACGTTTTAAAACATGTGAGGTATACAAGTAAAAACATGTACTGAATAAGGCTCTTCCATTCAGTGAATATCAGGCAAAAATGAAAAGAAATTAAAAGATGAGACAAATCAATAAAAAGGATAAAATCCCAGAAGGGACTTTATCCTATGTATAGTTGGTCCCAGAGCATTATAGTCGGCTCTGGGGCTGACTATAACGATGGCTTTGCGATGGCTAATAAAGAGCCGTGGCCACTCTTTCATTTGGTCCTCTCATCTGTGTGAATTGAATCTCACACTTGTGGGCACACTGGTAGTAATTCCCTTCCCTAACACCCTACAGCTAATGACTAGTGGCATCTCATAGGTGGTGAAAAAGTACTGATATGGGATTCTTTTTTTACGTTTTTTAAATATTTCTGCGTGCATTCTTATGTCCATGTTTACACAATGCATTCTGTAGACATCGAAACAAAAAGAGGAGAAATAAAAACACATTCAAAGAAAGGGTCAAATTCCCTATACTGGAATGTACTGTAGAGATCAGAGAAACCAAGCATTCAAGGATTGTGGTGGAGTCATCAGGTTGGTTGTCATTGCCGTGATACACGTCGTCTACTCCAGGTGTGTGGTGTCATTGTGGGCTAAGATCGGTATCTTTGGTACCAGGAAAACCTATGAAAATGTGTCATCTTCTTGCTTATTTTGTGTTTTATTTGCATGAAAAGGCTCTGAAGACATCAGTGTAGAATCAAATATCCTTGCCAGATGTCCACTCCTCAGACATGAGCGGTGTTCCATTAAATTCCCCGTAGAGGGCGCTGTGAGGCTTCCTTTATTGAGCTGTTTGAAAAAAGAGACATACTGAGTTTCTCCCATGATATCCAGGTGCCTCAGTTAGCGGGCCTTTTACTGTCACAGAGATCCCAGGAGGCTTTCTCTAGGAGAGGAGGGGGAAACAGGAATCGAGTCCCCCTTCCCCCTCTCTCCTACGCTTCACCACATCCTCATTATTGACCGTTGTTGTCCTCCTGAAATAAAGACAGTAAATATGTGAATGTTAGCTAAAATTAATTGATTGTTAATGCATAAAATCAAATTCTCCAGACAAGATGCATGCACAAAATTAATGCTGCAACATAGATCACACCAATATAAATAAAAGAAATAAAATTGACAGGGGAAAAAAAGACTGATTCTCTATTTTAGTTCCTAATTGTATTGTTTTCTTGTGAATACAGTGATGATAATAAACAGTTTTAAGCTGAATCACTTCCAGGTTCAAAATGAGTCATTGCATAGAACATTTGAATTGATAATTGCTTTCATCCTCTCCTATATCTGTGTGTGTGTGGGTATCTGTGTCTTTGCACAAATAGTGGCAGCGAGCCCAGCTTGTTAGTGAGATCATCTTGTAGGTGTAACATTTGAAATTTTCAAATTGTATTTTCAAATGATCTGGGTCTCTAAAAGGTCTTCATGTTTTGCAGTGGCCATTACAGAGCACACTTGAATAGACTGAAACATTCTGCAATGTTTATATTACAGCTCTGCCAGCCTACTTTCCTTTACTTCCTATGACACTTCAGCCAATCACAGCCCTGCTGCCAATAGCAGCAATAATCCACTGGGCTGAACAGGCCTGCTGCTCAAAGAAGCACTGAGTCGGGTTTATCTCCACATTCCCCCACTGAATCCTGAGACTGGCCGCAGACACAGATGACCGACTACTGATATTAATCCAAGTGTCAGTGTAGACAGCTGAATGATAGAGCTTTATTCAAATGAGCCACAACTTCATCCTGTGCAAGTCACACCATGTGTTGTGACAGCCGCTAAATAAAGTGCATTGAAATCTACTTTATTTTGCGCTTCTGTAGTTCTGCTCCATTGAGCAGAATTAGTTCATTAGCTTATTCTACCATGTAATGAGTGATGCTTACCATGAGTCATGATTCTGTATGCCCGCATGTGCTCTTGTCCCTGTGTGTCTCTGCGTGTGTGACATTAAAGCAAAGCCACAGTTAGCCTTCTCAGGCTAATTATAGCTCAGTGTGCTTGGCCCAGATTATTGGAAGTGTGCAGAGTCAGAAGGTAAACCATACTAAGTGTGACCTCCCTTGTTCTTGGCTTTGGCCTCTTACCTCTGCAGTATGACCTTAACTACCTGACCGGACAGAGCAGTGAACCCATTAAATAAATCACTGAAGCAAACAAAAGTAAAAGCAACAGCAAAACTTAATTCAACCCATAGTCCAGCAACACAAACATATATGCATGAACACACACACATACATACATAGATGTATGTGAATGGATTTCAGATACCTACCATTGGTCCAATGAGGCATCAGACGTCTCCACAATCATCATTCTGGGACTGTAGTTCTGTCAAGGCATCCACTTACTTTCAGGCCTCCTCAGTCCTCTGCTCATGTCTTGTAACACCATGCTGACGAAGCGTTCACCCTTATTTAATTCACTTTAATCGTGTGCCCATGTCTGGGGAATTCAGTGCTGACAAGGCATCCTTTGATTCCTGCTCTGTTCAGTAATTTGGGGTAAGGGAAAGGTACAGTGGATCAGTTCAAATGTACAATCACAGCATTTAATCAGTCATCACTTTACTTGAGTCTTCTCATTATGCAGACATGCACTATGCTAATCTATGTAAATATCCAGCTGATACAACACTTAATCCATTAATCAAAGTGTAACAGGATTCTGTGTTTTTACAGCTTTAAGTCTTGGTGTACTTAATAAAACTAAAACTAACAAGGTAAAACAGAAAGTGATCAATGGTTTAACAAGTTACTGCATTACTGCTTTTGTTTTACATGATGCAAGTGCCACAAAAGTGACAAAAGGTATTCTGACATTTGTAAATAGTTTTCTACAATGACATACTTTTCACTTGCTTAGTCGAGCTGGTGACACAGTATTTATTATAAAGACAATGCCCCACCACAAAAATTAAACATGTCCAAAATCATCAGTTTCTCAAGAGATAAGGAAGAGGTAATGAGCTACTCACTGATGCACTCAGGATATATCTTCTTCTATTTCCTCTGTTATTTGAAATGTATTTAATACAGTTTCATAGGTTTTTCAAGTTCAAAGCTACCATCTCATTTCAACTCGGCATATCCTGAAAAAAAGAGCACAGTTCATTCAAAAAAGTGAAGCCATAAGCACATACATTATCATTTCCCAAACAGCCATAATTTGTAACGAGGAAGCAATTCATAATGTCTGTTGATAAGTAGGCTGCCATCTATTGCCTTCCATCCTAAAATCAATCCGTACTTATAAATTCAAAGTTTGACTGAAACATTTTTGACTTGCTAATGCCTGTAAGTTTGATTAAAAAAAAACATCACTTACCCTCCTCTCATTAGTTCACCAAAATGAAGTGAACTTCTTCCCAAGGCCAGATAAAGCTGCAAGAATGATGAGAAAGGGAGGAAAACATAAGAAAACAACCCAACCCAAGCAGTGAAATAGCCATTTCAGTATCTTAATTTATGTTGTATCAATAGACAAATTATTAATAAAACATAAGATAAAAGATATCGATTTAACTTTTGCTAGACTCAAAGTTAAGCTGTATTCCAGTTTCTTAAACATTTATTTATTCATGACTGTACCATCTCCTAGCTTTCCCGCCTGCTCTGCTGCCCCTCCTTGCAAGATTTTGGTAAGAACATTGTCCCCTTCAGCAGGTGCCTGTCCTGCTGCAGCGCTGCCTATACCTGCGGGTTTGCTACCGATCCCAACAGGGGGGGCCTTGGAGCCTTCAAAAAACAAACAACATAACCATCACATATGCCATCTTTTTGCCTGTGGTCATTGTGTATTTTATGGTGAGACTTACCAATGCCTGTTAGAGGGGGTGTAGCTATTTTGGTAGGCTGAGGTGGTGTTGGGACTCCTGTTGTAGGTTTCATTCCTGTGGCTGCTGCTGGAGGTGTCACATCCATTTTTGCCTGCTATTATTCCAACACACAAATATGGAGTTAGGGCAACGTTTAATTTTGCTACTACATATTATTTTAGACTATATTTGAATGTAGAATTGTGATTCTATTAATATGATTAACAATATAATTTATATAATGTTCACTATCCAATAGAAGTGTCAAACAAATGTTGCTTATTTTTGTGACATTTTATAGTGTTTTATAGATTTAAGAGGATGCAACAGTGCTATTATGACTAGAATTATTATCTGTCATCATAACTAGCTTTTAGGCAAAAATTTTCAGAAAATACCATACAGTTCAGGAATTTATAGTAGTTAATATTGGTAAAGTCAAACCAGGCTTATAGCTCTACTCACGGCTGTGGTGGCCGGCTGCCCTGCTGCAGACACTACTCCTGGCTGGCGTCCCTGTGGTGGGGTTTGGCCGGATTTGGGCTGCTGCTGTGCTGGTCCAGCTCCTGCAGTGGCTGTTGTAGGCTGGCTGCTCTGTGGGGTCTGGCTGTGCTGCTGTGGTTGCTGCTGCGGTTGCTGCTGCTGCTGTTGTTGCTGCTGCTGCTGCTGATGATGTGCACTCTGGTGAGGCTGCTGCTGGGCTTGCTGGGTACCCTCAAGTGGTTCAGAGCCTGGATGTCTCCCAGACTGGCCCTGACCACCTGACCGCTGCTGCCCAGCATGGCCCTGAGGAGGAGGTTGCTGCTGCTGCTGCTGCTGCAGCTGCTGCTGCGGCTGCTGCTGCTGCTGCGGTGGTTTAGGCCCTGCTGCATTGGGCTCCTGCTTTCTGGAGGCTGTGCGATCTCCTTGGGGTCTCTGGCTCCGTCCTCCAGTGCCGTGATGATGACCAGAGGCTGAGTCTCGAGAGAAATCGCCCGAGTTCCGGGGGCTTGCCTGGGCGGAACGGGAGTCTGGACCACTCCTTCTTTGTGTAGATGAAGAGCCCCTGCCATCAGAGCGGGCAGGTGGTTCTTTGGGATGTGTCCTAGAAGAACGAGAGGACCTGGGATCCTCTGAGGAGTGGCGAGAAGAGCTGTGTCTCCCAGAGCTGTTGCCATGGTGACGGTGGTCCCGTGATGATGTGGAGGTGGCGTGGCGTTGTTGGTTGTACTCATCCTGGGGACAGTATTCCTCTGGTGGTTCGTCATAATCATGGTAGGTGTGTTTACTACGCCTACCTGTAGATGAGTGACTTCCACTTCCATGATGTCTTGAGCGATCAGAACGTGCCTCCCGAGGCTTCTCAAACCAATCAGTTTCCTCTTGGCCCAAATGATAGGCTTTTTGAAACCAAAACAAACATTATAAGTCAGTTGTTTCATGTGGTGAGAGGAGTAGCATGCAGATTGAAGCCATGCAAAATAACTAGGAAAACATGCTCCACATCCCAGAGCCATGCATTTGTGAGGAACCCAATAGAAAAAATACAACTTAAAAAACAGATCTCACACTTAAAAATGATGCATGCAAAACAGAAATATAAAACAGGCATTCTTGGCTTAATTCATCACACGGAACATTCCATAAAAAAAGACAAGCAAAGTAATGACGCTCTTCTCAAAATTCCACACTTGGCATGCAGTTCCTTTGCAGCACACTTTAAAGGTGGGAGGAACGAACGTAAAGCAGCACAAATAATTCAGCACCAGTTACCTTCACTGTCAGAAACAGCACAGTGCATGTCATCTACGAGGTAAGGGTCATCTGGTTTATAGACATGACTCCTGGGCAGGTCCTTCTTGTGATGGTCCTGCACATCTGGCAATGAATGGCTGGAGCCATACTGGTTCCTCACATCATGGGCGTCTGGTATGCCAGAGCCTCTTCCCATGCCTACAGGTTTTCCAACAGGACTTAGTGGGCTCTCCTCTTCTGAGTTCTGGCTGCGCATGGGAGGCCTTCCACTGCGGCTGCTTCTCTGAGACCGCTCCATAGCATCCCTCTCGTAGGATTTACTTCTGTGACCTGTGGCATCTCTGGAGGAAATCTTGTCCATACCATATCCAGTAGACCTGGACCTACCAGAGCTGTACATGCGGTCCTCCTCCTCAAGACCCTCACGACTGGTGCCATAATATTTTTGCTGATCATATGCATTCTTCTTCATTCCATAGGTGACATCCTCCTGAAGCTTCTTGGATCTGGACACAACTGTACAGCTGCCACCGGTTGATGTTGTCATTGTGTAAGAGGCAAGGTCAGACTCCACATCTCGTGCTTCCTCGATAGGGGAGAATTTAGAAATCTTCTGCTCCATGCCCTGCTTCCTGTGCTTACTACGTTTAGAGGAGACTACTGCTGGGGCGAGATTCTTGGGTGTGAGTTTGTGGCTACTGGAGCTGCTTCGTGATGTGTGTTTATAATCATCATAGTAATAGGAAGAGCCTCCACTCACTGTGGTGCTGGTGCGACTGTCCACTGTACTCTGGTAACCCGCTGTGCCAGTAGGTCTGCCATAAGCATCCACAGATTCATCTTCAGGCCTACCATAGGCACTCCCACGTGCAGGGCCATTCTCACTGCGATACCGTCCTCCCACAGGATGGCCTAGAGCATCAGTGGGTTGGCTGGTGTTGTCTTTTGTCAACTCACTGATATCGTCAATCATGACGTAGTTCCGAGGAATATTCTGCTCCAGGTTTGAGGTGTACAGTCCATCTGAAGTGTAAGCAGAGGTGGGGCTCTCCACAGAGTGAGTCAGGCCAGGCTCAGGGGGGCGGTATTGTCCATAAGCATTGCTGTAGACTGAGCCAAAGTTGGCATCTGGAGCTGGTGTGGCCACTGACACTGCTGGATTGCTAATGACCTCATAGTTCGTGGGGAGTTTTTGCTCAAGGTCTGCCAAAGATGTTTGTCGTGGTCTTTGATGGACTGTAAGGATCTCTGCCTGGGGCTGGTAGGAGAGACCAGGTTGGTAGGAACTATGGCTGGGGTAAGGAAGGCTCTGGCCTGGCATAGATTGACCAGGCGGATGGAAGCCCTGGTGACCATGCTGTTGCATGCCAAGGTCTGTCTGGTAGGAGGACTGGGCATACATGCGGGAGGAATAGGTTCCCTGGTTCTGGTAGCCAGGGCCTGGTGGGGGATGGGGTTGGAAAGTTCCTGGCTGGGGTGCAGATGATGAAGGGTACTGAGGAGGTTGGAAACCTATCTGTTGATAAGCAGAGCCTGGCTGTTGTGTTGATGGTTGACTTTGAGGGTATGGATAAGACATATAGGATGAGGTTGAGGGATACTGGGAGGTTGCATTGAGGTCATTAGTAAATTGACTCAATGGTGCAGTGCTGGGCCTTGTCAGCAGACCATTAGCATCAAAGGTTCCTGTTGCAGCTGCCATCCTAAGGTTATTGAGCTCACTGTCTGACATGTAGTCCCGAGCGTCACCCATACATCTCAGGTAAGCCAGCTCTCTTCTTTCCCTCTCCTTCACCATGGTCTCCTTACGTTGGGTGATGCCTAGCTCCAAGTAACGTAGCTTGGCATCAATCTCTTTCTCTTCTTCTTCCAGTTCAGCCTGCTGTTTGCGGAGCTTTGATGACTCTTGTTCCACAGCTTTCAATTCACTCAGCAGGCCAGCCTTGGTGACTCCCTGGGAAGGTCTGGGTAGGACCCTCTGGGGCATGCCAGGAGAGCTGTACATTTGTGCTGGAGTAACAATGGGGAGCGGAGTCTCCTCTGGAGGGGGGCTGGGGAGAGTCCTCTTTACTTTCCTCATCAGAGAGTTCTGCTGCTGCTGCAGGGAGGCCATCTGCTAGGAGAGGCAGAGACACATCAGCAAACACTGAGCTATAAACAGAATGTGTTTATGTAAATTAGACTCATTACTGTACACTGGGTACTCACAGAGGATCTGCACATTTCTTCATCCCTAGACCTAAGTGAAGAGCTGCAGCCTGATATGTTGTCAGACTACATGATGTTAATTAACCTATGTACTACAGGAGCGTTGGCTTCATCAGTAGTTCAATTAACATAGTTTGATTTCATTATTTTGATTAAAATGTTGTTTCACCGAAACCAAAGACACTAAGCGACATTTTTCATTTTATGCCCGATTAACAATGTTAAGTAAAATGTTTAGTAGTGGCAGTCAGTGTAGTCAACACAAAGCAGCTCCATTACATAATAATAAAGTGCTTCTACTTACGGGTACAATTTAACCATGTTACTTGTTATATAAAACAAGCAACATTCATAACTACAATTCATTAAATATAAATCTCTACCAGTACCAATACGTGTTTGACCAAGTAGCATTTGTGCTTTTCCAGTTCATATCTAATTAGTTAAATGTAAGATTAATTAATTAATATGAATGTATTTTTATAAAAAAAAAATAAAATATAAAATCTTTTAGAAATCACCAGGAGATGATCAGAGTGTAATGAAGCAATTGTGTCTTGAGTCTTTTGATTTCATCCAAATATATTACATAAATATCTTCATTATCCCTTTGATTTCCCACCTTTGATCAAATATCCATTGTATCTGACAAAATATGCATATATGGCATGCAGGTAAGAACAGTCAAACATTACAAATAAAAACAAAACTTAAAAAGACATCTATGCTAGTCTAATACTTACAAAATAGATGTGTTGGGTAGATCCATGGTGATTTTTTTAAGTATCCACAAGAAAACCATGTATAAAACACTAACACTAAAGATTTGAGGTACAAATGTGTAAAAAGCCAGAAATCTGATTTCTACGTTTGCTTCTCAGACTAATTTTGGTCTAAGTGCAGAGCAATGATAATTTACTTTGACCAGCTGCTAACAATCAGAAAGACAGCAAGGCACCACTAGGATTCCTCCACATTGTATGTCCCCCTGGCAACTCTTAAGGGTTTGCCTGATATAGACTACATGACAGAAAGAGAGTGAGAGAGTGTGTGTGTGTTGTCTGTGTGTTGTGAGAGAGAAGAGAGAGAGATGAGAGGAGAAGACAGAGAGAGAAGAGAGAGAGAGAGACAGAGGAGAAGAGAAGAGAAGAGAGAGAGAGAGAGAGAGAGAGGAAAACAAAATAAAAAAGTAGAAAGAGGGAAGATGAGGGAGGAGATACAGCAGAAAAGGATGATGGGAAAAGCTTTTCTGGCATGACCAGCTGCTCTCATGAGAACATTCTGTCACCCTCTCTATGCCAGATCCTGTGTGATCAACCATGTCCACACAAAGCATATTCTGCATACACATATATTTATTTTAATTCATATTTCTTACTTTCAGACAATGAACTGACAACACTACTTCAATTGAAAGGCCTATATATTTATGTTTATCTACATGCTAATTGGCTCTTGTAAATGTGGATAATGAACTAACTTATTTTAATGGGGTTTGGCACTGGTATCACCGGTAATAAAACATTAGTTTGAGTGCAAAAGATCTCACAAATTTTATGACATCCTGCATATACTCCAGATGTATTACAAATAGATAATGCATGTAATGTTTCTACAAAAAAAAAACGCACAGCACATTATCCCATGCAAATAAGCTTGACATGAGTACATACTGTACATCAGCAGCAGAAGCATATGTTGTATTTGATCAAAAGACTCACATCTCCATGAGGGACCTATGGCATAATCACTGATTTGAGGATTTTTACAGATCCCAGTTTTAGCTTTTATTTATGATCTGTAGCTTTATTTGAAGAAAATATTTCTACAAATAGATATTTCTTATAAATATGTTCCCCTAAAATATATGAAATAAAAGTTATGATTTCGTACCTGACTGTTGGACACAGCTTGCTGATGATATGGGGAGAACCTGTTCTTGGCAGGATCCTCTGATGTGGGGCTAAGAGGTTTGGGATCTGACATGGAGCGCTGCACACTTTTTATGGGTCTTGGTAGGGTCTGGTGGCGTTGGGGTGATTCAGCAGTAAAGGCCTTTTGCTGGGGTGTAACATGGGCCTTGTTAAGCTTCTCCTGGGAGGCAAATGTTGTCTCCAGCATGCGATGAGGAGACAATGGAGATACTGGTGAGTATAGCACCTGGGGAGATTTTGGGGGCTGGCGGGATAGAGACTCATTTGGTTGCTGCTGAAAGCCAATTTCCAGGGGGTCTGGTTTCCTCCTCTCAAACTTAGCAACTCCTTGGAGTCTTGGAGAGGTCTGGTCAGATGTGTTTGCACCTACTATATGCAGACTTGTGGAGTACGGACTGATAGTTGTAGGGACACTCAGCTGAGGGGCCACCACACCCTGAGATTGAGACTCTGGTTCTGTCTGGCAGGCCAGACTCTCTCCTTTGTGAGTCCTTTCTGGGGCTGCTATATAATGCAGTAGGTCAACCTTTGAGGTCTCTGCCATGGTAATGTGGATTGCAGGTGAAATCCTGCCTAGTTGGTCGGGCTCTGTTTGGCATGACGAATCATTTGTAGTTTGAATAGCTATACTTGCAGAAGCCACTTTAGATGACCCTTCTGATTTAGCCTCACCAGTGGATTCAGAGTGCTTAGATACACGTGATCGCCTGCGTCTTACTGGCTGCTGGTCCCATTCTCCCTGGTCCTCCTCATCAGTCTGCACACTGCAATCTGCAATACGCCTTGTTCTCCTGCGCCTGTTCATGAATCTGTCCTCTCCATCTTCATCATCTGTTTGCACACAGCTGTCTGTAATTCTCTTCACAGAGTCCTCCTCTGAGCCATCCCTCAGCCGTGGCATGGAATTCTGCTTTTTCATTATCTTGGAATCAGCCTGTTTGTCACTGCTTCTCAAAGACATTTCAGAGGCAGAACTATGAATAGGTCGAGCAGCCACTACAGCTTGGACCACTTGCCCATCCTGCCAAAACTGAACACTCTGTCCATCTTGTTGGATAACTCTACCACTCTGGTCACAGATGATGAATCCTTGAGGAGGACCTCCTCCAACAACTACCCCTTGTATTGTACCCTGGGCAGATGTTGCTGCTGCTGCCGCTGCTGCTGATGCAGCGGCTGCTTCTGCTGCTGCAACAGCAGCGGCTGCCTCCACTGCTGCTGTCTTTTGCCTTTTCTGCTCCTCCAACTGCTGCTGGAGCTGCTGCTGCAGAGACTGAATTTGTTCAAGCTGCATTCTCTGCTGGGCCAGTTGTTCTCTTTGCATAATGAGCTGTGTCTCCCGCTCGGCTTGCTGTTGCTGTATGACTTGCTGTTTGATTGTATGCAGTTCTTGAATCTCACGCTGAACAAGAAGTTGTTCTTTTTCTCGGTGCCGTTGAAGCTCCATACGATCTCTTTCAAGCTCCTCTTGTAGGCGCAGCTGGCGTAATTTCTCCAGTTCAACACGCTCTCGCTCCAGCTGCAGCATATGCTCTTGCTGCTGACTCAGTCTCTCATCTTCCTTACCTTTCTGGGCATCCATGGGAGGAGAAAGTTTAGAACTTGGTGCTAGGGCAGTACCATGGGGTGTTGCTTGTGGCTGGCCCTGTGGCAGAGCTAAAGGTTGAGTTTGACTAATCGGTTGAACTTGAGGTTGGGTTTGAGTTAAAGATAATGGTTCAGTTTGAGTAGGTAACTGCTGTGGCTGCATTTGAGCCTGCACTGGCTGGACAGTTGGAGGTTGGCCTTGAGCTTGAGAGAGGGATGTAACACTCTGTGGGGTAAGTTGAGGGTGGTCTGTCTGTAGATCTGCTGCAGTCTGCATACCAGTTGCTGGTACATTTTGTGCTCCTAAGTGTGCCACAGGTTGGGTTGGTGGAATGGTTGCAGCTGTTTGTGCTGCAACTGTTGTTAAAGGCTTGCCAAGGTACACAGGAGTTTCCTGGTGTAAGCTGCTTGCATCAGGCACACTTCCTGGTGGTGCGGCTGACGTAGGATACTGGTTTGGAGTAGGGTAGGAATATGGTCCCTGTGTAGACAGAGGCATTCTCGGAGTCACTTGAGGCAACCTGGTAAGGCTAGCCAATGGTACAGCAGTTACACCTGTAGGGTATGGTCTGTAAATTCCTCTAGGCATGGGACGCAGGACAGAGGCAGGCTGGGTGGTAATTGGCAAGGTAGAGGCTATGGGAGTGTTTATGGTAGAATATATCATGCCATCACCTCCTCTCATGGCGGCAGGGTACAAGGCGCGTATGCTTGCTTGTCTAGCATTTATTAGATTTGTTAGGGTTTGGCCATTTGCTGTTGGTCTTCCATCTGGGCCATAGATAAGGTTTGCTCTTATAGATGCTAAGCTTTGCTGGAGATTAAGCCTAGCTAAAGGTCCACCTCTTCCAGCCCCATATGGTACCAGTTCAGGGTTATTTCCATACCTGCTCCCGAACTGGTCCGCTGAGTTAAGAGCTGCACACATGCGACTGATCTCCCTGGCAGTGGTTGCACTGTACTGAGCCAGATTGGAGTCCTGTGATCCTGTTAGGTCACGCGAGCTGTAGGCATAGTCGGAATTGATATTTGACATGGAGCCATATCTGCGAAGGGGTAACGAAGGGCCTGTTAAATCTCCTTGGTGACGCAGGTCTGTGTAAGATCCATACTGTGCTCCCATACCAAGGTATCCACCATCATAAGCCTGATTCATGCTGCTAAGATCTACTGCTAGACCCCCTTGGACATTACTCTGATAGTGACCAGCATCAGTCATGGAAGGCAGATTAGTATCAGACATTGAGGGCTGTATTCTTCCTGAGGGGACTATGGGTGGTTGATATGGTTTATGTTCCTCTGTCACTCCTTGTGTAGCCTGAGGCTGGTGTTGTTGTTGTTGTTGTTGTTGTTGTTGGCTGACATTGTATTGTGGATGGGGAGGGTGGGCTGCTTGAGAGGTTTCAGTGGTGGGATTACTATCTGAGGATATTGTTGTAGGCTTCTGAGTGAATGACCCTGAACAGGAACCAGCAAAGGGCAATTTGTAAACAACATCACAACAAGCCACCTGGTTTTCTGGTTTGATCTGTCCAGTGAGATCCAAGACCTGAGGAGTGGGAGGAGGTTCTTCTCGCTTTACCAGTTGAGTCACTGTGCCTCCCTGTGATGTGTTACTCTCATCAAGTTGCACCATCATAACATGGGTCTTACCTGTGGACAAGTTCATTACTGTTGGCTTGTTTTTTAGCTCTAAGGCAACTCCACCATAGATTTCATGAGGAGCATTAGAAGTAGGAGCCCCAGACACTGATGGTGGAGCCAGGGGGGATACTCTAGGAATGGCACTAGCAGTCACTACAGGCTGGGCACTGCTTGTCTGGCTCACTACAAGGTCTTTTTTCATCAGCAAAGGCTGGACCTGATTAGCTAAATTGTAACGAGCAAAAGAGGATTGCTGTTGGTGCTGCTGGAGCTGCTGCTCAAGAAGCTGTTGCTGCTGCAGGAGCTTCTGCTGCTGTAACTGCAGTTGTTGCTGTTGTATGCCTAGGTTCTCCAGGCAGGCATCAATTTTGGGAATAGATGGGTCAGTAACTGTTGGCTTACTCTGGGTTAAACACACAGCTGATCCAACACCCTGCCCCAAATCCACACGGTTTTGCAAAGGATCTCCATATACAACTGGTTGCTTGGGTTGGGACATGAACATAGAACCTGCAACTGTGATGCTAACTGTGGTCGGTGTTGATAAAGATATGTGTGGTTGCTCTTGTGCGTTAAGGTTCATAATAAGAGGTTGCACTGCTGTGTGTCGACCAGATGGCTGCTCCGCCCCTAAAGAGTATCTTCTTGTGTCAGTGGCAAGGGATGTTAGGTCCATCCCCTGGTCTGTCATTATAATTGGAGCCGGCCTCATTGGAGCTCTCAGATCCACCACATTAGTGCTTGGATGTGTTTGGCCCTGACCCACAACCATTGAAGAGCCTGGGATATTAGAGATTTTACACAGAGATATATTTTCCACAGATCCGCGGCTATGTGCAGTTGTGGTCACGGTGCTAATACCAACATTTACTTTTTCAACATTTTGAGCCATCTGTGAAGAATGTTTAGGAGACTGTTGTGACGGATGCATTTGTGGTGATGTTGGGGAACTTGTCGAAGGGGGCTGGGAGCTATACAAGGTTTTACAACTGACCTGTGTTGGCGATGACAAAGGGGAAGTGGAGGAATTTACAGTAAGTGGTTTGGCAGGACTTGTTGTATCAGAACCTAGTGTTATCACCATCACTGGTGAATCTTGAGAGGACTGTTGTCGTGCAAGACGTGGCGAAATTGCCCTTTGAGGTGCCTGAGCTCCATGGGATGCTGCAGCTGATGTAGGACCACCAGGCAAAGTTGGCAGCTGCCTGCCACTACCACCAGTTGGTCTGACGGACGGCGTATGTGTTGGGCTTTGTGCTGGAGAAGTAGAGGGGGAGACCGGGGGGCTAGGACCTTTGAAAAGGGAGAAGACTTTGGAGGTTAGGGAGGATGCTCCAGGGTCAGGTGTTGCCTGTGTTGGCCTCTGGGAGCCTGTTCTGTTACCAGCAGGCGCTGTGCTACCTGCCTGTCGAGTTGTGGCAGTCTGACTGACTTGGGCTTTGGTTGTGGCAACTCCAACAACACCTTCGATTTTGGCACTCTGTGTCATCATCCTATTTTGCGTTTCTTTTGATAGATGCTGTGCTGCATGAATTCCTGGTATTCTTGGATCACTACCTGTTGTGGAGAAGGACATAGGTGCAGTAACTTGTGTTGGGCTTGACCCAGGGGTTAGGGCAGTTCCTGCTTCAAGATGATGTTTACTGTCAGGCTGAGGGGCACCTTTCTGCTGATTTACTGTTTGTCCTTGCCTCTGCATGAGCTGTGCTTTCTTCATCATCTCCTCATAGACCTCCTCTGCACTTTTTAATGTTTTATCAGATGGTGACACTGCTGATGTCTTTTCTGTGGGGGAGTAGAGTGATGTGAAGGTTGGAAGGTTATATTCATTTCCTGATTTGTAAAGCTTTCCACCAATCATCTCAAAGCCTTCTGCCTCTGAGTCCATAGATGGGGAATATTCAGAACATGATGATCTATGAAGTTCCTCCATCTCTGCAGCCTGTCTCAGCTCTTCTGTTGGTGATGCATCCTCAATGGGAGAGAGATTACTTGGGGGAGTTTTGGATCTTTCCCTGCGTCTCTGTGCTCGTAGCTCCTCTTTATCCCTCTTTGTTTTTCGAGCAGTACTTCGGATCCTCTGTTGCTCTAGATCTCTCATCTGCTCCTGTTCTCTAAGTAGTTCTTCCTCCTCTCTGAGCTCATCCTCCTCAGATGAGTCTTCGATAGTGGGAAGCAGTGGCCCATGGGATCGATGTCGAGCTTTCCTCTGCTGCTTTGCCTCCTCTAGTCTTGCCCTACGACTAGGGCTGCTGTCACTGTCATCCTCCATGGACGACACAGATGTGGGGGATGTTCCAGAGGTGTAGCTGGGAGTGGTAGCAGGTAGGGTTGATGAATATTCTCCCTTGGACCGCTCTTCGGGAGAACCAGTCAGACTCTCCATCTCTAGTTCAGGTTCTCGTAGGTCATGCTCAGTGCTGAGCTCCATTTCTCGGTTGTAGCTGTTAGTGTTATTCAGCTCAATGGTCTTAAAACGCCGAAGGCCTCCAGCCATTACAACATCTTCCTCTTCATTTGCCTTATAAGCACCCTCTGATGCCTTGGTGTCATCCTCAAAACTATTAGAATGATGAGAGAGTCGCCGTCTCTCTTTGCTCAAATCTCCACTGGTTTTATGTCCCCTTTTAGTCTTCTGGTTTCCATGTTCTTCCAACTCCTCTTCATCAGCACTCATCTCCATAATTTGTCTCCTCATAAATTCCTCATCTGTTAAATCTTTATGTGACTTCTTCTGTCTTACTGGCAATGGAGAGAGGCCACTTTCACTACTGTCTTCCACATAATCATGGCGAAGCTTACAACTGAGGTCATCCTCTGATTCATCCCTTGCTGCATCGTCATCAGGACTATAGTCCCGGTCCTGTCCTACAGACAGTGAATGTGGCCTGTGCTTCTGGTCTGCAGCAGTCTTTGACTCTAGAAGAGGTTTCATGGAGCTCTCTAGCTTGGTGATTTCTGAGGGGATAGAAGCACCTCTTTCACTGAGCTTGATTCCTTCTTCGTGGATCTGGCCTGTAATCTCTCCATGAGAGCTGGAGATCCCATCTGAGGAGTATCCAGTGTCACTTAAACTCTGTGTACTTGATTTGTTGTAATCCTGAAAAAAGAGAGAAAGAGAAGGAGATCATAAGCAAAAAAAGGCATATTTTTTTCCCCTAAATTAAATCATGGCATGGTCTATTACAAGCTTCAGTGCACACCTTGTATCCCACTATTACATCAAACTCATCAACAGTGACATTTTCATGAGCATTTTCAGATAATCTGGAGTAAAATTAATGCACTGGACCTTCTGCAGTTTAAATAGGCTAATACTAAGATATTGGAGAATAGTTACATTGGAAAGAACAAACTTTTAATCAAACAACCAGATATAGTAACACTTTAGGCTAAAATCAACCCAAATATTTACTGTCTATGACATTTTGGTTTTAGAAATCAAGCAACACTGACTTGGCACACAGTTACCACCATTTATTGGTATGTTTTCCTGAAAAAAACTCTATCTCAATATGTTTTATTCTTTAAATATATATAAAGCACAACAGGACAATCTGTCTGAATCCTTTTAGTTTTAATTTTGACTGGTTTGTGAAGATAATCTTACTTTTAGATTATTAAAGCTCTTGATCATATTTTATTGATTTGGGTTGAGTTTGCCTTTCAAAGTTATGTGTACACAGATGGATAAATACACTGACACACAGAGTGAATATAACAGACAGTTGAACATACAAACATCTACAGACAAATGTCATTTGGTTACATGCTTGATTGCCATCTTTGACGCATTCTCCATTGCATTCTTCGAACCGTTGAAGAATAACGAACATGCTTAGAATGCTTAAATATAATAAGTGTCACATTAAACAAAAAGCTTGCGTTTGATACAAATAAAAGAAAGGTGTACAAAGTCAGATGGAGAAATGGGGAAACAGGGTGAAGATGAGAAATGGCCAACAAGACAATGATGATGATAAGGATGAAGAATGATGATCATAATGATCATGATGATGATAAGGATGACGATGAGGATGGTGATGGTGATGGTCATGATGATGATGATAAAGACAACAATGGTGAAGATGGTGGTGATAAAGATATTATGATGATGAACAAGGTTACATTGACACACGGTGTTGATGACTAGTAGTAACAAACTTTAGTAGTATTATAAAAAATTATGACGCTGGATGATTGGAGGAGGAATAGAAGTGAAAGAACAATAGTTCGGATAAGAGAAACAATAAAAAACAGATTTTAACAACAAAAATATATTTACGAGAAGAATAAAAAATATGATGTATGACAACAGTGATGTGGAATGAGTGATAACTTAAGATGATGATGATGATGATGATTCTGAGAAATGGTAACAATTATTTGAATGGAGAAAAAAATATAAATCATAATGGTGAATCAAGAGTAACAGGTGAAGGCGAAGAAGTTGCAGGTAGCTCACTTCATGGTGTCTTGACTTCTGTGCATCTTCAGCTATCTTCATGTCTTTTGGTGAAGTGATAGTCTCTGTCAATGCCTTCTTTGGTGAGGCCTTGACGTCTTCTTTTTGAGATTTAGATGTGACTTTAGTCTTCTCCTGGCTCTGCGGCTGTTTGCGGGCCTGGTTGTTACCTGTGGGTTTAGACTGAGTAGGTGCTGTTTTTGATTGGGTGGGAAAGGCCTTGGCATGGTTGGGTGCGGCTTTACCAGGGGCGGATGACGCCTTGGCACCAGAAGGATGAGAAGGGCCTTTAGTCTGAGCAGAGGGCTGAGCAGATCCCTTTGTCTGAGTCGGCCCTTTGGCCTGGCTTGGGCCCTTTATTTGGTTAGCAGACTGAACAGGGCCCTTACTTTGAGCATGTGATTGATTAGGACCTTTAATATGAGGTCCCTTACTCTGAGCTGAGGGTTGTGTTGGACCCTTTGTTTGGGAAGGTGACTGAGTTGAACCCTTAGGTTGAGGAACGGGTTGGGCAGAACCCTTGGTTTGAGGGGAAGCTTGGCTGGCCCCCTTGGTATGAGGGGCAGACCCAGCCTGTTTCACAGGAGAAATAGGGCCACTTACTTGGGGACCCGTTGGTTTCTGCTGTTGATGAGGACCTGTGGGCCTAGGCCCTGAGAGTTGATTGGGCCCTTTCTGCTGAGGTGGTTGTTGATTGGCTGTAGCAGGTGGCCGGGGGGATCCCACTGGCTGTGCAACAGGAGCTGGAATATCTCCCAAGCTTCCTGACAGAGCCCTCTGCGTCTGGCAGTTCAAGCACAGCCATTCTTTCTTCTGAAAAACAAACACAAAGAGAACAGCAATCAGCAAAGTTGAAACAAAAAAATATTATTATTATTATTATAAAATAATTCACCTTTATTACACAACACAAAAAAATAAAATTTTGAGTTGTCTTGGTGTTACCTCATTGCCATGGTACCAACAATAAGAAAATAAAAAGGGAAACTGTAGCAATTGGACTAAATACACAAACTTATTTTGATATTGACACCTTCTCAACACATTTTTACTATTTATGATGATTGATGAATACAGATGTATAAATGTGCCTGTTAATTAAATAAATTAAAGAAAGTTGCTGCTTTAAACGATCATGGAGTGCCAAGGACTCAGTAAGGTGGGTCTGAACAACTGAATATTTGAAAGCCTGTCCAAACAAGGCCTTTCATCCCTTCGTGAAGACTTAATCATTTGACAACATTAAGCACTCTCAAACTGGGTACACAGCGGAAGAGTGCAATGTGAATACAAATGAACACATCTGTTATTAGATTGGAGGGGTGCAACTCATTAGACCTTTTACGGAGCATACAGCAAACCTTCTATCTACAAGAGGAGGTACGTCCCTTTACAGTCATCCTCACTGAACCCTATGTTTGGAGGTAGTTAGATATTCTGACACGGCTAAAAATCTAGAACAAAACCCATCATGACAGGATATTAACATGAACAGATTAAATTTCAGGTCAATGCAGCAGATCGATGAAACTGCTCAATGGAAAGAAATGGTTATATTACAGGTTATGAAAGCTGAAAAGAGAGGTGGCTGCACCACGATTGTAACACAGCCTTCCATTTCTATGATAATCATCTGTGCCTGGGGCCTGAAGAGGGAACGTTCTTGTGCCACAGACTCATACAACAAAACAAATAATCTCATAAACACCTCTATTGCCGATTACCATCTGCCCAATAAATAATTTCTTTTATTGGCGTCATACTTCAAAAGCATAAATACAGAAGATGGAATTCAACAACATACCCAGAAACAGCTAATAAATAAAAACAATGCAGGTGTTCAATGACTGCATCAGAGGACATTTTTACTGCAGTCCAAACAGTCAAGATGCCAAAGACGGTTGCAATTAAATGATTTATGTTCTTCAAATGCCCTTACGTTTACCTCATATTGCAAATATAAAATACAATCAGTACTTTATTAGGTTATTGGGATTCTGTCATTTCTGTCTCATGTCTGACATGGTGGGTAGCCTAAAGAAGAGTTATCTGCCTGAATGATATAAATAACTGAGAAATGCCTACATCACGAGGAACAAAGAGAGACAGACAGAATGACAATCATTTAGTCAGCAAGGAACATTCTAACAGCACGATAGGTATCTTAATCTAGAGACCCCTGAGACCAGTGTTTGATAGACAAGGCTCCAGTGATAAGGTCTGGCTGTAGGACAGTGTCTGTCTTCTTTTCCACTTCATACTAAACCCGTGTAGAGAAATTGATCAGGCTCTGTGTGAGTGAGAGATTGATCATTTGTTTTTCTCAGGGCTCCTTGTGTGTCCTCTGGATTCTTGTAGAAAGAAACAGTTCAGCTCACTGGACACGATGAAGGTTGGAAACAGACCATCACAGGCCACTTGTACTATTCAGTTAAACTGATTTGTGAAGGCGAAAGAATCTACAAACAATGGTAACCACTTGCTGGTGTGGGTGGTAGGAGACAAAGCTAAAACTTAACAGAAGAGGATTTAAAGAAGGAGGAGGAAGATGAGGAGGATGGAGAAACAGGAAAAAGAAGGTGGTGGTGAAAATGATGTAATATTTACTATATGTGATGCTATTACAGTATTAAATCAATAGATGCCTATCACTCAAAAGTAAATTGCAATTATAAGAGGTTGCTGCAGACAGCATTTTGCCTTGTTGACAAACAAAACAGACATTCATCAATAAATATTTAGGAAATTTCAAAAAATCCCCTTATTTCTTATCTTATTTTAAGATAAGATATGATAAGATGTAATCATGGAAACGCTTACATTCAGCAACTGAAATTATTCCCATTATTTAGATTTTCACAAACAAAAGGCTACAAGCTACACAGAAGTTTGTGGCTAGATATGTGGTGGATGACATGTTTGACTCTATGTCTTTCAGACAGATCCTTGGGTAAAAGGAAAATAATTTGCAGGACTACGTCTCTAAATAACATGTTGTTTAAAACATTGTGTCTCGTCATCAGGTTGAGCCAGGTGTGCTTTAATCTTATTAATAGGCTGCAACGAAAACTGCTACTTTGAGCCTTAGCTGTGCTTCCCAGGTGACATTCAAACATGTAAAGTACGAATTTTGGTGAGAAAGGACGCAGTAGTGTAACTATTTACTGTTGGCAGGGAGTAGTAAGTAAAGTAATAATATTACTTTTGCAAAGAGTAAGGAGTAATAAATTACATTTATTGAGTTATAAACACTGGTGGTGCTGGACAGGCAGCTTGCACACAGTTGATCTTACTCATTGTGGTGAGAACGTGGTGAGACTGAACCTTTAGGGGTTAATATAAAGTTTTGATTAATTCAGCTTTGGTACCTTTAGACTTCAGTTCTTTTGTTAATAATAACTCAATTGGAGCCCTTATGTAACATGAGTGTTAAATTCTTCAACTCCCTCGTTTAGATTTTTTTAATTATGCCATTTGAATCATGTCTGTGAAAATATGCATTTCAGTGAGGATAATGCTGGAATAGTGTGGGCAGCTACAACATTTTTAGCATAAAAGGAGATAAAATAAGAGACAGGCAAATGCTTGGCAAGTTTAAAAACCTTTCAAGGACAGAAAAACAACTGTGACGAAGAATACTACTTAACTTCATCCACAAAGTGACATTCCTGAATACAGTAACTGCCACATGTAAATGTAAAATAACTTAGTATAAACACAGATATGGCAGCTACATTTGAAATCTGTGTAACATACTATTTTTACTGATGCTATTTTTCTGTTCAAGATTAAACCTTTCCTAGCGTGCCCAAATCCTACAGGAATCTGTTGTCTCAACTGAGACTACGAAGCGTAGATGGAGCCATTGGCATGCCAAACAGACAGACTTGCTTTGTTTTCATCTCTCTCAAGTGCTCTACTGAGAAGCTATATATAAACAGGTGCAGTACTCTCAGAACTAGCCATCTGTGCCGGTTCTTTCACATGTAAAAAAAAATAAAAAATGTTGTGGAGAAATGTCAGCGTCTGTGTGTTTGTGGACAGCTAGTGCACAATGGGACCGACAGAGGACTACTGAAGCTATGCTACAATCTATACATGTGTGCACTGTATAAACACATGCATCCATATGATCACATAATCATCGGATCTAAAGTAGCTCCCAATCTCTGAAGTCTCTACCCACTTTCAACTTCCTCAAAACCATATCAAAGCTACTTTTACTATTTTTTGGGTATGTTCATAACAGCATAATTTAATTAGCTACCTAAATTAGACACTAATGAACATTTGTCTTCTATGAAGAAGCTTTCTTCCTGCCATTTTGGCAATGCCAAACTCCCCTCTTTGCTCCTGAATCAGCATAACATCACTGCGTGGGTGAAAGGGAGAGAGGAGCAAGGCCAAACCGGAGCTGGGAGTAGCAAATTATTCATGTAGAGTGCTTTAGCTTGTACAGCAGTGAGCGATGTGGGCTCTGCTTCCCACCTCTACCCACACTGTGTGGAGAAAATCAGGTCCGTATAAAAGACAGAGCCTCTGTGCTTCTGAGACAGGCCTTTAATGCACGCTGAAAACAGAGCAACCAATTCACTGTGGCAATCCCATCCTACTTTTTAACTGCCCTCTGCAGAACAGCACTTCGACAGCTCAATACATAGAAACTACACTACAGCTAAAACTACAAAAGAGAGACAGATAATGAAATGTTTTCTCCAAGGAGAAAAAAAAAGCTTAGCTCTGTTCTGTTGTTTTTTATCAATCACTGGATATCTCACTTTTTGGGTTTTGGGGGGATTCTTTGTGTGTGTGTGCAGCACAGTTGTGTGGCGGCAGCAGGCCCAGTTTGTTAGTAAGATCATCTCGTTAGTGAACTGGTAACCTCATTAAATGGCAGGAGGTTTACTTGTCTGCTCAGTGGAGAGTGTACTTATCCTTGGCTCTGAACTGTAACTCGTGGCTGACAAGACTACACACTGACTGTAATCTATCAATTACAATTGAAGCTTTTGGTGTATCCACTGAAACATGTAATTAGTCAACAACAGAGGTGGTTTTCAGCATCCAGTTTTAGGACTTTTGACAGACCAGATGATTTTTGAACACTTGGACTGAACCTGCACTTCTAATAGTCTCTACTGTCACCAGTGCAGCTATAGCATCAATAACTTTATTTCATTTCTTAATCAAAATTTCATGTTGAATTTAACATTTTACATTTGACTTGAACCTTTTGGGATCTGGCACAAGCGAGTCACAAAGGGAGAGCTTAGTAGACAAGCTAAACTCTACTGAACTCACTGATGTCTACACTAAAGCCAGAACTATATTGCCTCAACTAATTCTACGGTGTCCCTGAGAGCTCAGTGCACTGCCACTTGTCAAAACACATGTAAATAGACAAAACACAGGCAAATGAAGAAAATATCTTCACCAATTTGACAACATATACAGTACGCAGCATAAAAAAAATAACTTAAGCTGACTATACATGGTGTTGAAAAATGAGCTGATTGCAACTCCCTCGCTTCATCTTCCTGTCCAAGGAGAAACTACGGTGGCCACGAAAAAGCGCGAAAAACGCGAAAGGCCCTTCCTAGAGTCAGTGTTGGATTAGTCTTCCAGGTCTGAAAAGGGAGGCCAAAGCTTAAGTGTCTTTAAACCTGCATTCTAAGTAAAGGCCAGCAGGGGGAGCTCCATTGGCTGCAATAACACACTGATACCATTCATTTTATGGAGAATGAGCCAACTTCCTTTATAGGCAGTTTCCTAACGGGTTTATGGTCTCAATCGCTAGTTTCACGTCTTCTTCC